AATATCAAAATAAACCATGAGAGTTTAAATGATCAAACTGAGGCATATTTTCCTCAAAAACAAAAAACTAGGTAGTCACTTTGTAAGTGGTTTTTACTATTTCTTAAGTAAAGTGGGTAAATTAAACTTAGGTCTTCTGGCATATGAAATCACTAGCAGCAATGTTCAAGGCATGCAAACTGAGGAGCATTTACAATAAATTATGAATAAAATATTGTTAAATTAAACCCCTTTGAGTATTGCATTCTAATTATGCATGAATTTGCATTAACTTACTAAAAATCTTTACAACTTACTTGCACTATACTACTGATGTAATTCCACAAAATGTAATGAGACTTTTTTTTCACTCAGTTAGATTTGAATAAATACATCTGCACCTACTGTTGTTGATCGCTGTTGCAAGGAATCAGTAGAAAAATTCAGTAAGGTGGAATTTCTATCTATAATTTTCAACAACTCTCTACTCACTTCTGAACTTGTTCCCTTTTTCTGGTGAGTACTACTTGTAAGAACAAAGGACTTTTTCAACACAGCAGAAGGCAGGTGCAGTTTCGAGGTTTTTTTTTTATTTCTTTCTAAATTATGACATTCAATAAGAACTAGCCAAACAGCATCCCTGTAGAGAAAGCTGAAACTAGTACCACTGTTTTTCCATTAGTTCATATAACAGTGACTGAATGTTAAAAGCAATATGAATACAATGTCCTTTTTGTCTATTTATTAGATAGACTGCAGAAAATTTGATTGCAAACATACCAAAGATTCTGTAAAATTCATTTTCATGTTAACTAAGCAGTTTTGGTTTTATTTTTAAAGATTTTAATTTACAGTATTAGAGTATTTTAATATTACCCTAAAGATATTTCCAAAATAGTACAACTCCATATTGTAAAGGCATCTTAAACAACTTATGTCTGTAGAGTCAAATATTTGATTTCTCCAGATATTTATGCAATTATGAAAACAAAAGAGTAGAAGTAGTTTTGCACCATGCAGCACATATTGATGGCAGTGAATAATTTAGCCTAAATCTATTGAGCCTTTTTTGTCTAGCATGCAAATGTTTAATTTAGAAATTAAAAAAAAAAAAATCTACAGGACGATCAGTTACCTAAATATACAGAATATTTTCAGTGGTCTAATTAAATTAACTAAAAAGTATGTCCTTACATCGCTCAAAGGGTTAATGCAAGGCATTACATTAAATTAATTTACTAAGGCTTAAACTAAGCACTTTGTATTTATTCTTCTATTCCTGGTTTTTTTTGTTGTTTTTTTTTTATCACTAAAGTAGCAAAGATACTAAAATACCATTCATTGACCTGTTCTTAAACATGATAGTTTTTATTTTCTACAGAGACAAGGATGTAATTTTCAGAAATTATTACTGATCTGTCAAATGAATGTTTGAAGTAACTGTCACATGAAGTACCAAAAATACTTACATTATTTAAAAAGCTACTTTTTCACCATTTCTTGTCATGACTATAAAAGGTTATTTTATTTTGTAAAACCACTCTATAAGTTAGATTGCAACGTAGCACTAACTAATATAAATGTTTTTCTAAACAATGCTGATATCATTTGATGAGAAACAAATATATCAAGTCAGGTAGAACTTGGAACAGTCAGCCCATGGAAAATATTTTGACCAGAAGCAGTATTTCAGACATTTAAAAATGCTTCACTTTAAATGGAGTTTTATAGAGCTATGCATTATTCAGTGACAGTACACCAGCACATTATTTTACACATTTGTGAACTATAGGCAGAAATGCTGTACATCATCATTTTGTAAGTAAACAATTTAAAGAATATCCTAATTTTTTAACGGAACATTAAAAAAAAGATGCACAAAACATGCTACAGTACAATATTGAAACATAGAAACAGGTAACTGAAAAGAGGGGGCTTTTTTCTTTTTTAAAAACTGATTTACAATGAGAAATATGAAATTGTAACTAACTTTTCATAAATATAAAACTTCTGAAATTTGGGCCCCGTGTTTTGAAAAAGTAATTCAACAATACCCATTCTGCCACAATCTTTACTAAGTTATTTGTGCCAATAGGGGAAGCATCTCTAAAATAATTATTTTGAATTTCACATCAAGATTGGGTAAAATCCACAAATTATATCCACAAACCCTTATCTTGTAGTGTCTAGTCAGTAGATGCTTGCTACAGCTCTTTAGAAAAGAGTTAAGCAGGCTTCAGAGTGGCAATTCAGCCACATGCTACACAGTACATAATTTGGACCAAGGTATCCATATTTGTGTTCATGAATCATTAACAACACCCATCTATTAGCAAATATCAAAAGTGTGCAAATTGTTTCACGTGTGTATGTTTGATCTAAATTGCAGTAAATTTAAATGCAAAGCACACAAATCTCATACCTGTAAGTATACACAGTAGCTTACAACAACTTAATTCTTTCAAATATTTGATAAAGTGATGAAAGGATGACTTAAAAATTTGAGAGAATAATCATTTGATAAGTATAGAATTACAAACTTCATTCAGTTACCTGAATCAGGGATAGTTCCATTTTGTTTTGATAACTTCTATTAGAATCCATGATATGCATTCTGGTCTTGTATGCATATATTTTGTTTTCTTTTTGCACTACATGAACAGTGATCAACTAGTCAAAAGATGTTCAGGTCTCACTGCTTCTTAGCAATCTAGATTTACATGTTACAACTATACTTTTCTCTCAGCAACAACAAATCCAACATTCTATGAATAAAAAACCTTTAAGATTTGGCAACATAAAATTTGAAAACATGCAAAACAGACCATCAGTACAGCATAGAGCACCCTATGTTAAAAATGAAAAATGCTGAGTATTAAATTAAATTTTACTTGTTAAAATCTTATAATTCAAAATAAAAGGGAGAAAATATTTATCATAGGTTAGTTTTTAGGATTTTTGGTCAAGGGTGCTGATTTCTAAGGGAAAAAAAACAGGATGCAGTGATATTTGAGAGAACAAAACCTATGAGGATTCAGTGCACACGTGAATTTAGACAGAAATTAATACAAACCTCATTTGCACTTTTTGTTGAGATAAAAAATATCTACAGACATAAGTAGGAACTGTGCCTACATAGAATGGAGTAGGATGGGTTGGCCTCCAAATTCTGCTAAGAAATTCGCAAATAATTTTTTACCCCAAAAAATATTAAAACATCTTAGTTGATCTGTAACCATTCTTGGAGCATCTGAAAGCTCTGGCAACAAATTTATTTGCTAAAAATACATTGTTCATGTCACATGATGTTCACCCATTTGGTATATATGACTTTAAATAAAAATCAGTCCACAGTCATGCTAAAGAAAACAAGAGACTCCCTACATTTTTTATACAGTCCTTTCTATAAAATTGCTTTTGTTATTTTTCCTTCATTTTTTGTTATTTATTTACTTATTTTCACTGTTTTAGCCTAACCAATTCATGTGTCTGCTTTAAAAATAAGGAAAATACTTAATATAATCAGAAAAAAATCAGACATGTTTAAAGTTAATTAGTATGGACTGCATAAACTATCACTATAAGATGTAATCATTAAAACATAGCATCAGACTGACACCCTACCACATATACAAAATGAAAATATTCACTGCATTGTGTACCTGTTTATTTATTTTGTCTGACTTTTAAAACTTAAAATCTGTCAAGAGTTTAAAATATATAACCATGATTAAGACTAGGGTCCATTTACTTTAACAACATTTGAAGTTGGTATTAAAGCTAGTTTTGCTTTTCAAGTTCCCAAGCAAATTTTATTTGTAATAAAGTGATATTCAACTAGAAACAAGAGAAAATATTATTAGTATCAATTTTAGGAGGGATATAAATATTGTTTAATAATAAAACCCTCTTTATTTCTTTGAAGACTATGTAACCTGCCCCAATACTTAGAAAAATTGAAAGTGACAGGCACACCTTGTTGAATAAATTTTAAGAGTTATTAAAAATAACAAAAAATACTAAATCTTAGCTTGGTTCTGTTTAAGGCACCATGTAATAGCCGAGGTACAACGATCCCTGATGTACATTCTAAATGGCAATGATCCATCTAGCCACCTATTCAAATTTAATGCAATTGGGAATAAGGGAGGTGTGCCAGTTATACTACCTTAATAAATTTTTGTAAAAATTTAAATTTACTTTAATAATTGGGAAATATATTTTGAAAAGAAAATTATGCAGGTTGCTAGGTTTCTTACATTCTATAAATTATCACTTATGAAAGCAGCAAATTAAACCAGTAGGAAAAGACCTGGAATAGAAGAAAGTCATCCAAAAGGAATGTTTTCCTGTATGTCCAATTCAACATAAGTAGCATGTACACTTAAAAAAATTCAAGTCACTTTTTTTCTGGTTTAGTTTCTATTAACTACAGTACCACTTGATAACCAAAAATATCTGTGCAGAGGTCTCAAATATAGAATCAGTAATCTCCAAAACCAAAGGAATTGGCATGCAAATAAAATTCAGAGCTGTTGATTTTAAACGAAGCTTGTATTGTTTACACAAGATCAGATAATTAGGTGTGCCTACAGTGTACACATTACCACACTGTTACAATTCTATCACTTATTCTGCATTTGTAAATGCAGTGAAAACGCTTCTTCCTTACAGAAAGAAAACAGTAGATATTCCCAACCCTCCAACATTATGATAAAAATACCCCCTTAATGCTCACAATTTCATTAAAATAATGTCTTTTAGTTCTGTTCAATGAAAAGCACCTTTTATAACAAATTTGATGCATCTGCTGTCAAATGAGTATGCATCCAGTATAAGTCAAAGAAAGCATTTCTTTTAATATTTTGCATCTAATTAAAAGCCTATGTATATGAAATCATTATGACAAATAATTAACATTAAAATATATTTAAACTATAAAAAAAATAAGTTGTTTTAATTTTAAGAGGACAAAAGCATTAACATTAAAATTTTGACAAAAATCTTCATTGTCACTTGGAACTAGGAAAATTCATAATATCGAGTAACCAATGTAAAATGATTTTGCTTACAAATTTTTTTAAACATCTGACAAAATGCATACACACATTTTATTTCACAACTCTAATAAAAGATAACGTTCAGCACAGTTAAAATTTGATAAGTCAACTTTCAGACCTATTCTCCTATCCCCCCCCATTAAGTCCAGCATCAACAAGGCTAATGTAGTTGGGGGGCACTTCAATATTAGACTGCAGTATATGTATTTCCACTAGCACTGCATTGTCTGATAGTCTGAGTATTTGTAATAATGTGCTCATTATGAAGTGGGTTCAGGAGGCTCTGCTCTATTCCACTCTCAAGCACTGGCTGCTGCATGCAGCCTGCCTGAAATGCTTGGTTTAAGTCTGTTTTCTCCCTCTTGGCTTGTGGCTCTCCATTTTCATCCATCTCTTCTTCTATTTCACTTTCAACTTCACTGTCCTCATCTGCACACACAAAAAAAAAGAAAAAAAAAATTGCACAAAGGGAAAAAAAATGAATACAAAGGCCTTTATTTTGCAAATAACATGAAATATGAAAACACAGGAAAGTGTAGCAACCAATCATATCTTCCTTTTTCCACCTATCCATCCCCTTCAGCTCTCTCACCAGGATATACAAATAAATTCTGGGTGAAATTCTGAAAATTTCTTGTGTAAATAATAAACATTTAAAAAAAATTAACTATTAGGGTCTTACAGTGTTGTAATCATTATTATATATAATGTATAGCATATTGTACCAATCTAATAGTTATATTCACATAATTTAAATTATGATACAACTTTAGATTCCATTTAACAATATTTTCAAAAAATAAGAACTTACCTTACTCCAAGACACACATTAGTTCTAAATAAAATGATACATTTGAGAGATGACTGCTTACCTTTGTCCATATTTCCAGGGGATATAGCATTTAAATCACCAAACTACAAAATAAACAATAAAAAGTGTAGTCACAATCCTATATAAACATGACCTTAGATTATCTATGACGAAACCAGTAGTATTCTCTAATGGCTTGTTGCTAGTATGAAAGTGCATGCATCTGACTGCAGTCACATCCATAGTATGTATACCAGTTAATTTTCCATTCCATCATATTCATGTTCATATTAAAGAAATTAAAATAAAATATTCTCAGCAATTAAAACAACAGGATATAAACTTAACTATGTGGTTTTGGATTTTTAGGGTGACTTATGTCAAGGCCTTTGTTACTTTGAGTGAGATATGTCTGATGTAAAATGCTAGAAAATATGACCAGTGTCCATTTTTAAACTGCAATATTTTAACCAAAAGCTTGTTTAAAAGTTCCTCTGAAATGGTGTGTCACTAAAGGCAGTTATAGTGTAACAAAACTATATATGAGGTAAATAAATGGCACCACTGAAAATAAGGTTGATGGTTATTACAGCATAATCTGCTGACTAGTTTACTTATACAAAAAACAAAGTGAAAGGTTGCTCACAAGTGAAAAATGCAAACTTCTTTCCTCCCTTTCCTTGTCCGAGTCTTTTACCCTTCTATTAAATGATAAACAGCAGAGCATAATTTGATGAGGTAATCTCAAATGAAAGGAGTACAATATTTGAATAAATATATTTCTAACCATACCTGATTCAGTCCTTTTCAGAAATACAGAAAGATAAAACTTCAGTGAACACTAAACCAGCATAAGCAGCAGCAGCCCTATCCTTCCAGGTTCCTTCACACATACTCCCTCCTCACCTCCCCATACCCATCCTTTCACCTTAAGTCAGAACTAACCCCAAAAAAGTAACCCAAGGGGTTATTTTGCACAGGATTAATTCTCTGATCCAGTTAACCACAGGTCTACCTGAGTACTTGTGCCAGCACCAATATACAAATCTAAGGGGATGGGAGAGGAGGAAACAGAGTGCTTTTCTCAGCTTCAAAGACAGTTCATAATGGCTTCAAGTGTTTGTCAAACCAGTCTTAGTCTTTCCCATTTTATATTGCAACCAGTCAGTAAACGCAGAGAAACACAAGAAACCATGTATTTAATGAATGTTTACTTCTTCCCTGTTCCCTTCATCTCTCAAAGCTTTAGATTACATATTTTCTCTATAAGATAATATCTACCTTAAGTTTGCCAAAACATTATAGGAAGTCTCCCAGTACACCACAAACATTAAATTTAACATATACTATGTCTGTAAAGAAAACAAGAATGTGGCAATACTACACTTTTGCAATACTTTGCTATAAATGCAATGGTAAAGCTCAATTAAGTATCTAATTGGAAACAGTAATTTATTTTTTTACAAAATGTCATATCAAACTACAAATTAAGTCAACTTCACATCTCTATCAAAAAGTACATATTTTAATAATATTTTATTATACTATTTATTATATAATGAGGAGAGAATGATATATCAAGTCATGCAAGGTAACTTACAACTTATCAGGAAGACAAAACATGATATACTGATCATCAAGTATAAAAACATAAAGTGTCAGTCTGGTGAACTATCTATTGTATCTCCACATCAACCATTTCCTAGAACTTCAAAAGTACAATTCCTTGATGATAACTCCTAAGATAATGTAAATTCTTAAGCAACTCACACAAAATTAACAGTTAGGTGAGCTACTGAAAAAAAAAGGTCTGAGGAAAACAAGACAGTGCTTATGAATGTCGACTTTTACTCTGTTTATTTTAAGCAAAATACATTGAAATATAGGCATGAATTATGCCATGTCCCAGTCCTGCAAGTACTTCTGTGCTACTTTCATGTGAAACATAGATGAAGGTAAATAACCCAAATTTGAAGATGCCAATGTATTTGCAACTCCATCTACAACGTCTTACAAATATTATTACAAAATATCCTGTAGGTTCATGTAACTGTTAAAAAAAATTGTAGATACATATCCAAATTTATCGCTAAATTCACCAATCCATTGTCTTGCATATTATCTTACCTCTCCCATAATTGCGATAGGTGTTTCTCCTGTTGCCTGAGCAACACGATGTTCGACTAAGTAAAACATGTACTCATCATAAAGCAAGCGGATCAGATGAAAAGAGCCAAAGCTAGCAGCACTGCGTAAGGTTAAATCTCGAATCACCATTGAGCTATTTATATATGGAGGAAAAAATTATGAAATAAATATCACAATTATTTAATAATTTATTCATATGGAATATACACTTCAGGAATAATAAAGCAATGCTATCCAAAACCATCTGATAAATGGTTTCAGAAAGAAATGTCTGGGAAAGACAATTATTTGTCTCTCCCCTTTTTTGAAAGCATGGTTAGCGACCACATTACACAACTAGAAGCTAAATTTTAAAAAAGATGTGAAAGGTTTTGTTTTGGTTTATGCACAATTACCAATATGTGAGCACACGTAAAAACTGAACTTAGTGACCTTTGTTAAAATTTAAATAACAAAAATTGTATTAAAATTATTTAATTTTAAACAAAGTAGTCCTTCAAAATATTGTGTCTGTTCTACTCACATTCCTAGTTCAAAGGTATGATTTTTAAACTTGTAAAATTTAGATAAGTTTGTGTATACCTTATAATAGAAAAATGCAGATTGTGGAGAAAAACATCCATATGATAATCTCAGAAAGTAGATGCTATAATGTACCATTTTGAAAAAAAATAGTTTTACTACGATAACTGATACAGTAGCAGATGAGATGGAATATTTGCTTTGTTGTTCTTTTTACACATTAAAAATATTTTACTGTCTCTACATAATAAAAATAGAAGCCATGGTATTTTAATAACTAGTATTGAAACATTTGCTTTAAAATTATATAGCTATTCAATCCAAAATGTTTCATGGCATGTTTCCAAATCAGGATAAAATTCTAACCTCATTACCCTTACACGAGGTCTTTAAAACAATATACAAGGATAGTTTCATCCACTACTGAGTTGCACATAGCACTGTGTTTAATGTCAACAACACTAATCTTTCAGGGGATGGGGGGAAGACTCTTCATTTCTTGGGAACTATTGTCTGATATTACTTTTTTCAACATTATTACAGTTCAGTAAATAATAAAATAGCTAAAATAATTTAGGAGACTACCTGTAGAAAGACCATTTTAAAAGAAATTGCCGTGCTGCTTTAGGAAAGCTGGGTCTTCCTTCATATGGTTTCAATGCTTGCATCATTACATTATCAAGCCAGGCAGCCCACTGTTCCAGAGTGCTCTGCTGCTGAAGAGTCATCTTGAAATCTGTTTCTAGTCTTTGAACCATATTGTCATCACACTGACACACCCAGGAAGCCTGTTCCTGTTATAACACATGGCAAGCATGAAAGCAAAACACAAAATGTAAATTATTCTTAAAGACTGAAAAGGATGAACTACACTTATTAAGTAAACTAATGAGTATTTTTATCTTCCTGTCTCTCTCAATTTTGTTGGAAGAAAATGTAAGTAAGAAATCCAAAGTATAAAAATGGGCATCAAATAAAAATACCATTAAAACCCACAAATACACTGCAATGTTCCATATTAATTTTCATTAAAGAATTTTCAACTTCCTTTATTCATAGTTTTTCTAGTAAAAATTTCAGGAATTGCAAGGCTTGAGACTACAGGAACAAGGAATGGAAAGGGCAGTCAAATGGAAGTTGAGAGAGTAAAAAGTAAAGAGGAAGCAAGAAATCAAAGTATTATGGTTACTAATGCTTTGAAAGAGTATCCTGGTTCTGGTCAGGACAGGGTTAACTTTTGCAGTAGTCAGGAGGGGTACAGCCAGGGCCCTGGGATTATTCTATACCAACTCATGTCATGTGCAGGGGGGATTCATCTTTCCTGTTTGCCAGAGTGTGTGATCTTTACCTTTTTGTGCCTCCAATTCTCCTCTCCAGCCCTCCACAAGGGGATGGAAGGGGGAAGTCAGCAAGTGGTGCATGGTCTGAAGTGTTTCAGTGGGAACACTAAATTGGGAAATGCTATTCCTAAACCACGATAGCCTTATTTGCAGCCCAATGTGGGACTCGAAGGGTTATGACCATGATGGATCCTGGGATGATACACCCCCACCCCCATCCTCAAGGCTCAACTCTTTGCCTGTTGAGAAGATGCAAAGGCATTAAAAGTGAGTATTTCACTGAATTCAAGGGGAATCTTTCAAAGGTACCTTGTACAGACTCTTTAGGTCTGTGTGCATGTGAGTGTGAATACACTATAGCAAATGTACTAGGAATGCTGCTATCTTAGATTCTTAAGTACTTTAGATTTGTAAGTTAGGCCTGTAAGTAAGTTACTGTTGTACTATAGTAAATTCTATATGAATACTTTGCTAAATTATTTAACTTCAGGTATCGATTGAGTTTAAGTGCTGTTAAGTTAAATGCTTTTGGGTCTTTAGGCATAAACTGTTGATCAAGTCCAGGCTCAGTTTAGCACAGGGGTCTACTCTGAACCTTGTGACTCAACAGAAGGGTCTTCCATATTCCTTTTTTATCTTTACCCTTTCCCATCCTTTTCTCTCCCTCCCTTCCCCTAACCTCCACATAAATACTTTTGGGTTTATTTCATTTTGGATTGACTGATTTTAGATTTTTGTTTGTTTTTTCTTGGTGTGCTTTAACCATCTAGTAAGTAGTAGAGTGATCCTTGCCAAAGAATTTTGTCATGCTCTCTTTTATATTAAACCTGTTTTTACTGATACTTTGCTGGCGATTCTTTAGGCGACCTTAAAACACTCACTGGCCCAGGGGTGGAAACACAGCCCTAATATTTTCCATTGACTGATCCAGACTGCACTGGAAAAGGGTGAGGCTCCAGAACACTTGCAATACATTCCTTACATCATTGTATGGGGCAACACAGCAGAGGAAGTTTTTCAGAAAGGGAAGAAGATAATCCAGATCCTCCTGAAGGCCAGTTTTGACATAAAACAAAGTAAGGTCAAGGGATCTGTCCAGGAAATTCAGTTTTTAGGAGTAAAATGGCAAGATGGATGTTGTCAGATTTCAATGGACGTGGTCAACAAAATAGCAGCTATGGTGGATTTAACCATTGACACTATCTCCCAGGTTATCCATAACTGTGAAACATGCACTGCAAACAAACAGGCCAAGTGGGTAAAGTCCCTGTGGTATGGGGGATGAAATGGTCGAAATATAAATATGAGGACACCTGGTAGATTGATTACATGACACTCCAGCAGACCTGCCAAGTCAAGTGCGATGTGCTTAAAATTGTAGAAGCAACCACTGGGTGGCTGTAGACGCACACTGTGCCTCACACCATTGCCTGGAACACTATCCTGGGCCTTGAAAAGCAAGTCTTGTGCCAACATGGCACGGCAGAAAGAACTGAGTCGGCCAATGGGACTTGTTTCAAAACTAACCTCATAGACACCTGGGCCAGAGAGCACAGTATTGAGTGGGTATATCATATTCCCTATCATGCACCAGCCTCTGTGAAAATTGAACAGTACAACAGACTGTTAAAAACCACATTGAAAGCAATGGGTGGTGGGACCTTCAAACATTGGGATCTACATTTAGTGAAGGTCACCTGGTTAGTGAACACTAGAGGCTCCACCAATCGAGCTGGTCCTGTCCAATCAAAACCTCCACATACTGTAGAAGGGGATAAAGTTCCCATATATACATATGGGGAATGTATTAGGGAAGACAATTTGTATTAGTCCTTCCTCCAGCAGAGGCAAACCCCTCCTTGGGATTGTTTTTGCTCCAGGACCTGGGTGCACTTGGTGGGTAAGGCAAAGGGATAGGGAAACACGATGTGTACCTCAAGGGGATTTGATTTTTGGGTGAAAACAGTTGGTAATGTTGAGTCGTATGATATTGGTTGCTGAATGACACTGGCATTGTATACCATAACTACCATGGACAATGAATATAGACTGCTCCAGATACACCAGTCATGATCTCCTGATGCAACTTGCAACCAACCAACAGCACACCAACCCTTCTGCCTTGTAAGGCATCTAGGACAGATAGAACCCCCAGTCATGGACTAAATGAACTCAGCATCTTGGAGGACATCTTGGAGGAACAGTCATTGACTATGGAAATGGTACCTCTGCTTGTGTAGATATATATAGATATATATACATATATAGTTGCAAGATGTAGGATCTGGGCATGAGGTAGATGGTATAAAATAAAGGGTGGACAATGTCCTGGTTCTGGTCAGGACAGGGTTAATTTTTTGCAGTAGCCAGGAGGGGGCAGAGGTTATTTTATACCTGAGATTAACTCACTTGATTAAAACTTGGTGCTAATGTCAAGGTCACAGGTTCAATCCCCTGTATGGGCCGTTCATTTGAGTTGGACTTGATGATCCTTGTGGGTCCCTTCCAGCTCAGAAGATTCTGTAATTCTGTGACTATGCTCTGTGATTCTATACCACCTCACACCATGCACAGGGGATGGAGGGGGGTGGGTACCCTTCCAGTTTGGCTGGTGCATGGCAGTGTGCGGTAGTGTGGTGCTGGGTTAGACATGGAGAGCAATCACATGTGAATCGTTTGCCTATCTTGTACACTCTCTTATTAGCTTTGTTACTGTTTGGTTTTTTATCTCATTGCTGTTTCTAGTAAATTATTCTTATCTCACCCCATGATCTTTACCTTTGTGTGTTTCCAATTCTCCTCTCCAATCTGCCACAGGGGGAGGGGAGGGAGGTCTGATATGTTTCAGGGGGAACACTAAATTGGGGAATGACATTACCAAACCATGACAGAGTTAAGACCAACTACAATTTCTGTTACATTTTTTAATCACCTCACTTAAAAAGAGCTTTGTTTTATGGACAAAAAATGTTTGCTGTGTTTAGTCTGCAATATATTACAGATTGCTTAATGAGTAATATAAATAGCACACAATTGGACAAACACAGTCCATGTGCAATAATGAGCAATTCACAGTGTTATCATGGAATGTGATTATATTACATTTTTAAGTTTTAATAAGACTAGTATGGATACTTCTGTTAAATGGAATTTGAGAAAACCAATATTGATTTGACATAGACCATAATCTTAAACTCTAGCTATCACATGCCAAGTTAACAGCTCAACATTCATAGACCCTATATCTTACCACAGAACAATTTCTAATACACCATATATTTGGTCACATACTAAATCACACACTATTATGCAATATAACTATATTGTGTTAAATATTATTTATTCAAAGATCTTCAAAACAAGCAAAAAGAATTTAACTGTTCCTAGCAAACTTATGAACTTCTGTTAAAATAAGTTAAAATGCTTGTTCATGAAAGAAGACAAATGTATGACTACCAGTAATCTGGGCCATGTAAGTTAGTTGAGCAACAGGAGAAAAAAAATTGTTGTTTCTTCTAAGGAGAAGAAAGAGGTAAAAGGGAAACCCTTTTATAAGCCTAATGAAAAATAATAAATTGATGTTTTACAGATAACTAGAAACTAGTTCTAACCAGTTACTTAGGAAAGGTTGGAAATGTAAACACAAACAATTACAGTATACATATGATATTGTATTTTAAATAAATATATGAAACATAATAAAAATAATGAAACCATCTGTACTAGAAATAGTGCTGTATGATCAATACTTTTCTATGGAAGATCAGAAGCTATGTTACTATCCAAGATTTCATCTTCAGGCATTGTTCATGCTGTTCATTCTAACAACACATGTAGTCTACACTTTCATCTGCATTAAATAAAAATTGGCAGAATGTATGGTCTGAAGGATAAGAAGCTTTCAGAGAAAATGGAAACAGATAATGTTCCTGAGATTTTATTTTCCTTATAACCAAAACAGAAGTTGGAAAGTTTTGACTGAATAACTGTATATATATAAATGAGAAAAATCTTCCTATTTTGCTTTCTTGATAGAATAAGAATTAACAATAAAAATGAAAAAAAAGCAGGTGGAAGTTATAATTTTTTTTTTTTAAAGTCTGGTTTTTAAAGCCAAAGGTACCTGTACATTGGCAAAATCCACACGGTTGAGATCACTGAGCATCTGGTTGATCTGAGAAGTGTTCTGAAGCACAGCTCGAGCTGCCTGAGCCAGGTGATTGAGAGATGTGTATCTTCTCAAAGTCTGGGCAAAGGCACTTACAGAGGCAACCTACGAACAAATCCATTTATCTTAACACACTGTATTATCAACCGATCTTCTGTTTCATCTATTTCAATTTTAAAATTGCTGTATTAATTTATGAGCAATTCACATATAATGGAACAAATACCATTTTTCCTATGTTTTTTTTTTGACAAAACAAAGTTATTTCAAATACCATGTTTTATGTTTGAAGTTCAACCTAAATATGACATTTAGTATAAAAGTTAAAAGGTTGCTACTTTTAGATCTTGAATGACATCTAGTGTACAATTGTGAAAAAAGCTGCAGTAAACTTTGTTTACCTTGGTTTGTATCATTTTCTGTGGAATATTGTTCATGGCACTGGAAAGCCAACCTTCAAGGCTTTTTGCAAAATTGCGAATGGCTTGAGTCAAGGCACCTGAACATTAAAGAATAAAAATAAAATTAAAAGGATGGCAAGGTGCCTCTCTTGAAACCTTTTCCATCCTCAGTATGTAAATATTCTGCATTGAGAAGTACTGCATTTATTGGCATTTATTGGCTTAGAGACTTATCCAGTCTAGGTTCAGATCCCTATCAATACAAGAAGGATGTTGATAAATTGGAGCAAGTTCAGTAGAGGGCCACAGGATCAGGGAGCTGGAGCACATACCTTAGGAGGAGAGGCTGAGGGAAGTAGTTTTTTCCAGCCTGGAAAAGAGAAAGTTTAGGGGGGACCTAGTAGAAGCCTTTTAATACCTACAAGGTATCAAGAAGATAGAGTCAGCTTCTTCACAATGATGCAGGAGGGTAATAAACACTGGGCATAAACTGAAAAAAGAGGGATCCTGACTTGATAGGAGAAATTTTTTCACCTAGAGGACAGTTAAGCAGTGCCAATTCATGGTCCTTCATTGGACTCTCTCCAGTATGTTCATGTCACTCTTGTACTGGGGAGACCAGAACTAGAGACAGGACTCCACGTATACAGTACTCAACTGGTGCTGAAAAAAGGGGAAGGATCTCCTACCTGGACTATTAGCCCTCTTTGCAGCAAGGGCACATTACTGGTTCATGTTCAATTTGATGTCCACCAGGACCCACAGGTCCTTTTCTGCAAAGCTGCCTTCCAGCTGGCTGACCCCCTTGGCATGTACTGGTGCATGGGGTTGTTCCTCCCCAGGAGCAGGACTTGGCACTTCCCCTGTCTGAACTGTATGAGGTTCCTGTCAGCCCATTTATCCATCTTTTCAATGTCCCTCTGGATAGCCACACAACCTTGTGATATATCAGCCACTCTTCCCAGTTTTATGTCATCAACAAACTTGCTGAGGGTATGCTCTGCCCCATCATCCAGATCACTAACGAAGACATTGAACAGTGTTGGACCCAGTATTGACCTCTGGGGTACACTGATATTTACTGGCCTCCAACTAGACTTTGTGCCACTATGACCATGGGATACTCTTTGAGAATAGAGGACTGCTAGGGAGAAACAGGATCCACATGACCAAGTGAGGCACAAACAGCTTTGCCAACAGGCTGACCAACCTGATAAGGAGAGCTTCACACTAGAAATGATGGGGAAGGGATGACCAATAGTCAAGTGAGTAAGTCACAGATTGGATAGGCAAGCAAAGGATGTGGTGTAAACAGGAGGGACCTCAAAATCAAGAAAACCGTGTTGAAAACTGACCACTTCAAGCATATTCACATCACTAAGGAAATATCAGGACATCAGCATTATGGGTAAAGTTTTCATACCCTTTTGGGAAAATTTGTACAACTGGGTGCCTCTCTGAAGTGCCTGTACACTTATGCATGCAACATGGGGAAAAATAGGAGGAATTAGATGTCTGTGAGCATTTGCAGGGCTAAGATCTCAGGGATAACAGAGATATCGTGGGATGGTTCATACAACTGGAGTGTTACAATGGATAGATACAGAATCTTTAGGGAAAACAAGCCAAGAAGTTGTTCTATATGAAGGAGGAGATGGAATGCTTGGAGCTTTGCCTAGGGATGGATGATAAGCCAGCTGAGAGCGTAAGGGTCCAGGTTAGATGACATAACAATGGGGGTGATGATGTGGGTATCTGATACAGACTACCTCATCAGGAAGAAGTAGATGAAGTCTTCTGATGGGTTGACCTTGACTGACTGCCAGGTGCTCACCAAGCTACTCTATCACTCCCTTCTCAACAAAACAGGGGAGAAAAATATGACAAAATGCTCATGGATCAAGATAAGGACAGGGAGATCACTCAGCAATTACCATCACAGGCAAAACAGACTCAACTTGGGGAAATTAATTGAATTTATTGCCAATCAAACAGAGTTGGATAATGAGAAATAAGAACAAATCTAAAAAAAAATTCCTCCAATCCTCACTTCTTTCAAGGAAGAACGTAATTCCCAACTCTTCTACCTCCTGCCCTCAAGTGGCACAGGGCAACAAGAAAAGGGGGTTGCGGTCAGTTCATAACACTGTCTCTGCCTCTCCTTCCTCCTCATGCTCTTCCCCTGCTCCAGTATGGGGTCCCACCCATGGGAGACAGTCCTTCACGACCTTCTCGAACATGGGTCCTTCCCATAGGCTACAGTTCTTCATGAACTACTCCATCATAGGTCCTTTCCATGGGGTGAAATCCTACAAGAATGGACTGCTCCAGTGTAGATCTCCTCACAAGATCACAGGTTCTGGCAAAAAACATGCTCCAGCACGGGCTCCTCTCCACGGGACCACTGTACCTACCAGTACCCTGCTTTAGCATGGGCTCTTCATGGGCTGTAGTTTCCTTCAGGGCACACCCACCTGCTCTCATGTGGGGTCCTGCATGGGCTGCAGAGTGACAGTGTGCTTCACCATGGTCTTCCCTGGGGGCTGCAGAGGAATCTCTGCTCCAGCAACTGGAGCACCTCCTCCCTGTCCTTCTTCACTGACCTTGGAGTCTGCAGAATTGTTTCTCTCACATATTCTCACTCCTTTCACCCAGCTGCTGTTGTGCAGCATTTTTTACCCTTTTTAAAAAATATGTTATCACAGAGATGCTAATAATGTCTTTGATTGCCTCAGACTTTGGCCAACCATGAGTCCATCTTGGAGCCAGCTCAAAATGGCTCTTTCTGACTGGGGACAGTTTTTGGTGTCTTCTCATAGAAGCCATCTGTGTTTCTATGAGAAGCTTCTAGCCCCCCACCTCTACCAAAAACTTGCTATGTAAAGTCAAACAGGTCTCCTTAGGTAACTGGAATAAACTTCATGTTCGCAGACTCCAGTTCTCATGAGGGACTTGAACAACCCCATATCTGCTAGAGGGACAACAAAGTAGAGCAAAAACAACCCAGGACAGTTAAGCAGCAAGGGAATAGAAGGGTAAAAAATGCTGTGCAGAAGCTGTGTGATAGAGGAGTGAGAAAATATGTGAGAAACAACCCTGCAGACACAAGGGTCAGTGAAGACAGAGGGAAGGAGGTGCTCCAGGTACCTGAGCAAACAGGTCTGAATTCAGCATTGACTATACTTTGAACAGGAGGTGGGACTAGAGACCTCCTGAGGTTCCTTTCAACCTGAATTATTCTTTGATTGTAAAAATTATTTAGTTTCTGATTTAACAAACTGAAAACTTCCACCATGAATTTTCTGCCTTTAGTTCTTGCCTAAGTGTTTTTGCTTTTAAAGAGCAAAACCTCACAGGAAATGGCAATTATTGCAATACTTCAGTTTCCTCAAGTAAGTTTGAAGTACCCTGAACCATTGCTAACATGTTGTTTATTTTAGTTCTGAAGAACAAAATGCAATGTGCAATGTTCAATGACAGTATCAATAAGTAATATATAAGAATGTGTTAAACTAACAGAAGGTAGGATTGCTCTTACTGGTGTGAAAACTTGGTGGTGGAGAATTAATGCTGCCACAGTAATGAAGAAGAAAAAAACAGAAAAGGGAAATCCTACTATCTATAAATGATTTTTTTTTTTATTACATCTAAGAAGAAACAGTGCAAGACTGGATTTTGTTTATGAGGCAAAACAGCATGTTTGGTAGAGTAAGAATTAATTGTTAATGGAAGTCACCTAATATGAGAAATGCCCTTTCTCAGTTTGAGTAATCAATGAATCCTGTAATTAAAAACTTTTGCTAGCAAAGTTTTTTCCTGGACAAACGCTATGTAAAATGCCTAAGATTTTTTTAACCCCACTGTATTACAGAATGATCTGTTTTAAAAAGTGAGTGTGGAAAAAATGCAGTTCAGTGTCATCCTGATTTAAAAAAAAAAAGTCTTTAGCTATGAAGAAAGAAAAATTCTAAATTCTAAAGAAATAATTTTCCATCTTTCTAGCGGAACACTATATTATTAGAGGACCATGATGTATAGAGTGATCACAAATTTCTAATGAAATTTGAAAATGACACATTAAATTAAAAAATTTTGTTGTCCTCTGTCCTGTAAACAGTGGTTAACATATACAACCATTACCAAAAGCCTAAGCACCTACATGCTGCAAACATTCTTCAAGTTGATCTGGGTATCATCCAAATTACCAAAAACCTCTTTCAGAGAATCTTAACAATATGATGCAAAATAAATGGCCTAAGTTTATTCAGATAGTTTGTAAAGTGTTACTAAACACATATTAAATGATGCAGCAAAAAAAAATTACAAGAAGAAAATTTATTTTTGGATAAGCATTCAAAAAGTTTGGGTTTCTCATATGAAATCCTTCTCCTACACAAATAACAAGATTTTGCAGTTTTTCCGGAACTTGAAATTGCTGAAACTGAGAAATACAATGTGAAAAATATCTTGAACATGGAAGAGGAACTCCCAAACAAATTTGGCACTGTCCCTCCTGTCATTTGTGAAGAGATAAAAAGGCCATTCTCGGGGGAAAGGATCTATTGCCATTAATACACAGTGGCTCTGGTCTTTTGCTAGAATCATTAGATAATAATAAATTTTTCTCCCACAGAAGTATAAAGTGTTTGACTTATTTTTAAACAAAGAAATTTGGCTTTTTCCTACTCAGTAGTTTTTCATTCATTTTCTTGGCACTAAAAAGTTTTCACAAAAATTTCAATTGACCAAATTTTACTTAGAGCTTGTCTGTTAAAAAGTTTTTTTTCCCTCTTAATTTCCTTTATGGTAATATTTATTAGGAAGTTATGGGAAAGAGAAGGCTTCCCCAAATACTGAAAATCAGGAAAAGAAAAAAAGATGAAACTCAAAAATAGAATTATCAGTTTACATTCTTACTAAATTAAACACATTTTCCCTTTTTTTTTGCTGTTCTTACCTTTCTGATTATCCAGAAAAAAAAAGAAACCTGTCTATGATGGGGTATTTCTACAAAGCAGTACTTGCAAATATTTTCCTGAGTTTCTTCTTACAGCATAGATAACAGAGGAACAGGACCTGTGTTGCCAAGGAGATGCAG